ATCGAGAAGTCTCGAATTTTGAATTTAAAAATTAAATTAGTATATTGTTTAAATGTATATATAGTAAATAAATTTATATTTAAAATTTTAATTACGTCTTTAATCCTAATTTAATTGTTCCTTTAAATCCGTTTTTTTTGGAGAGGTTGAAGTAATTACTTATGCGTTCTCTCAGCTAGATCTCGACTTAGTGTAAAGGTCTCATCAGCAATGTTAGCAGTGGAAGTACCTCACAGGTGAGAGTGATGGTTGGGGCTTTCACCATTCCCTAACAAAAAAAATATAAGAAAGAGAGAAGGGGGCGATTTCGGTGGCTCGAAAAGCGTAGTAGTAGGGTTATATTCTAAAATAGCGATAAGATGTTAATAGAAAGCCTATTCTGTTCGAAGCAGTGGTTTTGAAGAAGAAGCAGTAGAAACTTAGCCATGCCAGAGACAACAGGAGATCTCGCTTCTCTTCTAAGTATGTATGGTTTGCGAAGAAAGTTAGAATACATCATCTTCCATACGAAGAAAAAGACTCTAGAAATGGTATTTGGGAGCAGATAGCACGAGATCACGAACGTTTCCAAAGACGTATTGCCGAATTGAATAAAGTTATATCACGAGTATTATTCGAGAAACGTATATTGATGATGAATCGAATGCTTGATCCTATATTGGAAAATCATTACACAATATATATCTTAAATAAAATAGAAATCTAATTTAAAGTAGAGGGAGGCGGTTATGACGGATCGAAAATCAAAGTAGTGGAGAGAGGTTTTAAAATAGCTGTGAGCCTTGTAGAGCTTCATTCTGTCTCACGAATCGAGTAGTATTATAGCAACATAAATTTTTTCAATGAGATATATATCAGGATATATAGCTTTCTGTAGTTCTTGCTCATAAAAACCACCAACAATTGGATTTTCTTGATAATCTAGTAGGTGATATGTTACAGGTTTAGTTCTCGAAATACGATGAATAGTAAAAATTTCTATAGACCAATTAGGCGTATATCCTTTTCTCAAAAACGTGTTTAGACTTGCTCACTCACACTTTATATCCTACCAGGAATTTCGGTTTTTTGAAAAGACGATGATCATAAGAGAATCGTATCAAGACCTGTATTTCATTTTCTTTAGTCACGTCTTTAGGCCTCATATTTATTATGCCGTGTTTTCGATTATTATAAGATTCTATTAAACTGGGGAGAAAGTCAATCCACTTATAATTTTCTATTAAACTGAATTTTTTCCACATAATATTTCTTAGTGTTCGATTGAAACGTTTACAAATTGATGTTTTAAGATTGCTATAAGTAGAATAAAGGTTTATTATATATTTTTTCACTAGACTTTGAAAATTTGTATTGTAGAACTCTTAGATTCTCTCTACAATAGCTTTGCATCTCAATAAGATCAGCTTGCCACGTCTCATCTATTCCATTGTAACGGAATTATTTAAGCCGACTATTCGTTGAAGAATACTTGCTCGCGGCCGTCCGCACAACATTTATCAAAGGAGGGCTCGGGAGGCACGAATGCTCCCACGACTGAATGGCACACCGAGCGTGTGTGCCAATCGCGCACGAATTGAAGGAAAATCGGAAAAACGAACGGGTTGACGCAATAATATATGACACATATATATATAACAAACTTTATTAATACGAACACAATAAAAGAAAAATAAAAGAAAAAAGAACACAAATTAATAAGTGGACGGAACACGCACACTCCGTCTCACAAATCAGCAGAACTCGCTAATCCGCTTAATTGGATTATCGGCAATCACTGCCCGATAATCCGCTTAAGCCTAAACGCCCGCGAACGCACTCGCGACCTCAACACCCGGCAACGGGGGCCGGCATCACTGCCCGACCTGCACCGTTGCACCCGCGAACACCCCGGACATGCAAGAGAGCGAGAGAAAGAGAGAGAGAGAGAGAAAACCGGCACCGACCTTCCCAACGGCGACTTCAGGTGAAGATGGCCGCTCCCGGTCAACGGCTGCGGCTTGCTGCTGCTGCTGATGTTGTTGCTGTTGCTGTTGCTGCTGCAGCTGTTGCTGTTGTCGCTGTTGCGGCTGCTCAGCTGTTGCTGTTGTTGCTGTTGCGGCTGCTCAGCCGCTCGCCGGACTCGCTCGCCGAACGGGCTTCGCTTTCACCCGCGCACACCGGTGCTGGGCGGCAAGGCTTGGCTGGGCGCGACCCAGCCACTCACTCTCACTCAACCCAAACAAACCCACCGATGCACGCCCACACACCGGGTGCGCATCCACAAAAAACAACCCGACGTGGCGAAGCACCGCACCGCTTCCAACAACCAACGAAAAAAAAACCCGGAAATCGGCGACGACAAAATAAACGCGCACACGCGATCGGCCAGCCCAAACGATACTGCCGATTTTCCCCCCGGCTGCGCACGCATCGGATCCGTGCGCAGCTCGCGCTCTCCCCATCCCGCTCGCTCTCCCGCATGACGATCCTGGCAACGGATCGCCATCCCGTCGGCCGCCCTCAGCTCCGCCAATGCCCGTTCGCCGCACCTCAAACAAAGAAAAACCAGGCATGAGAGTGTATACCAACACACCTCAGCCCGGGTGTAGCGAACGGACGAGAGAGAGACGAAGGAGAAGTCCGCGAGCCGAAATTCTCCGTCACAGCCCCCCCGTAGCAACCGATCCTGCCCCAGGATCGGGAGCTATCTCCCGCTCTCATCGTCCGGGCGCCACACTCGGGCTGGGTCCCGAGGACAGGCTCGTCCTGATGGCAATCCTGCCCAGGGAGCCTCGCATCTCGCTGACCACGAAAAAAAATGAAATGGAATGGTGGGTCATTACTACGAAACGGGACAACAAAACAGAAAGAGAAAAAACGAAACCGCAACCATGCGTCATTGCGGGGTTCAGAGCGCCACTTACCTTAGGTCCCGCGTGGCCTCACCTACTGGCCACCCTCGCGGGCGAGAGGCTGCGATACCTGATCAGCCTCCTCCACAAGGCACAGGAGATCCTCTCGGGACAGCCCGGCAAGGTAAGCCAGGACCCTCACACGAGAGGACGGCCTCGGCGCCGACGGCACTGGTGACACCGATGGTGGGGAGGGCGTCACCGACGCCACAGGTGGTAGTGGCGTCTCCGGCGCCAAAGATGTTGATGGCGCCGCTTGTGCCGTCGGGAGCACTGGCGGCTCCGTGGTTGGCGAGCCCCGCTCGGCCCGAGCTCGGATCTCAGCCAGAAGCCGGCGTCGAGCCCGACGCTTAGCCGCCACTGAGGTGGGCGATGGCGTGCCCTGCTTGGCGGCGGCGGCTCCGGCCTCGGGCTGAGGCAGCTGACACCGGCTTGCCAGCGCGCCATCGGCGGTCTGATGGTCGACCGCTGTGCGCGCTGGAGAGACCCGCTTGACCTTAATCCCCATCCTCGTGCGCCGCCCCCCCGCTCGGGTCACAGGGCGAAAACGACCGTCACCGCAAAGGCGGTAGACGATGCCATCGTCACCCACGACCCGACGCGAAGACGACGCCGAGGCGGGGACGGACAAACCCGTCTCCAGGGTAGGTGAAGGTGTCGCGGTCGTCGCGGCTTCCGGCACCAGATCAACCTGAGCCTCGGATGGAGGCGTCTACGGGACCTCCTCCACCAGTCCCGCGAGTGGAGACGAATCCGAGTTTCCCACAAGTGGGGAACCGGCCCTCACCGTCTCCTTCTGGGGGCACCCAACCTCACCGGACGCGTCCGGCTCCGCCGATGATCGACACTGAGGAACCTCCTCCTGTCGAGGAGTTGGCTCCTCACCGATGTAGCGGAACTCTACGTCCCTGGTGAAATCGGGCAGCCGCCCAGACCTCTTCTTACGAGACGGTTGAGGGGTCGCCTCCTCCCTGTATCCCGCGGGAGGGTAGAGGCCCCGGCCCCCGGTCGCGACAGTTGGGAGCGCCACCCGCTTCGGCTGCTCCGCTTGTACCCCCGACGCCGGGAGGAAACGATACTCGAGAGGGATTTCATCCCTTCTCGAGTGGCCGCGAGATGGACGCGGCTCCTCCCGAATCGCCGGGAGCACGTTCTGGGCTCCCGGACACCGTAACTCGGTGCTCAGACCGAGGTTGCGCGGCTCAACGAGAGTCCGCAGACCCCGGGTCCGTGCCGTCCGGAGCCCCATGGGCGAGCCCGCGTACAGGCGCTCCACCAGTTTTCCCTGCCGCGGCCCGCGGGCGGCCAGGTTGGCCAGCGCCCTCTGCAACGGCAGTGCCTGGCGAGCCGGGCCGGAGTTGAGACTATTGTCCCACTCCGACCTACCCCTCAGTGGAGAGGCCTCCACCGGGACCATCCTGGCCACCAAGGCCTCACTGGCCCGGCGTTCCCGCGCCAGCCGCTCAGCACGTGGCAGAGATCGGACAGCGGAAAACGGCGCCCCGGAAGGAGTCGCCAAGGGAATTGGCTCCTCCCCCAGGTACGCCGCGAGCTCCAGTTGCGCGGCTCCGCTGCCGAGCTCCAGCGCGTCCCCAGCAGACGCGGACATGGAGGCGTCCTCCACCTCCGGACATGGCTCGCCAGATCCACGAACGGGGAAAGGCCCACTGCCCCGGGGCTCGGAGGGCATCACGGCGGCCACCGAGGCCACACTCCCCCCGAACCGCGCAGAACTCACCTCAACGACCGAGTTGGCCACCGGTCTGGCTTCCGCCGCGGCATCACTGCCCGCCGCGGAGCCTTCCAATGGCTCCGGTGTCGAGGTCGGGGCCGACCCCTCACCTCCAGACCTGCCGTCCGTCCCGACAAGGGCTCCCAGTTTGCGGATCTCGTCCGCCAGTGACATGCTGCTGGACCTGTAACCAACCAATCAACCCAATCTAGAGCCTACCCAATAATACTCTGTCGGGACACCACAATGACCGCATGCAACACCAACACACCATAAACAAGAGTGACGACAAAAAGAAAACACTCACGATTCGCACGACTGAAAAACGCAAAACTTGACCCACCATTCGCCGACTTACAAACTATTGGCCGTTTCTACACACACGCTGTCGCTCGGTTCGAACGCGGAGGGACATATCGCTTTAACTCCTTCACGTGTACGCGGTCCACCTGCTTCTTGCTATCCGTCGTCAGAATATACAATTCTGGGGACAGCACCTCCAGCACCTTATACGGACCGATATACAAAGGGTCAAGTTTGGCGTTCCTACCTAGCGCTGCGTTGGACAGAGTGTGGGAGCGTCGCAAGACCAAATCTCCCTCTTGGAACTGGACGAACCGGCGGCCACGATCATAGTGGCGCTTCTGCCTGTCCTGTGCCTGCTCAATATGCCTGACCACCAGGCTCCTCAGAGCATTGAGGCGCTTCAGCCGGTCCGCCCACTCCTCAGGAGACAACCGAACAAAAGGGCCCCGCACCTCTACTTCCCTACGCAGGCTCTTCGCTTGACGCGGTTCCCGACCAAAATTGAGGAACGCCGGTGACACCTTTGTACTCGCCTGTACCGCCGTATTTATAGCATGCCGAAACTCGTGCAGGTGCTTATCCCAGTCGCGATGATCATGATCTACAAAAATGGAGATCATGGTCTTCAACGTCTTGATCGCACGTTCACAAAAGTCTGCCTGTTGATGGTAGGGTGGGCAGGGCACGTGTTCAATCCCATACTCTTTGAGTACGGTCATGAAGTCCGCCCCGCAATAGTTCTTACCACTGTCGCTGACCAAATACCCCGGAACTTCCCACCGGAATAAAATAAGTTCCTCGAGCGCACATCCTAACATCTTACCGGTCGCGACTGTCAGTGGTTTGAACTCCACCCATTTCGTAAACGTCCTGGAAAACCACCAGGTACTTGTAACGATTTTTGCTGCGGGGCAGTTCGACAACATCCGTGGCAATCACTGCCCACGGACGCTCCACCACACGCTTGCTCATCAGACCTTGTGGCGCACGTTGTTCTAGTTTGTACCTCTGGCAGGCCGGGCAAGACTGCACAAAACCCTGCACGTCAAACCACATGCCAGGCCAGAAGTACTCGCGCGCTATGCGATCGTACGTTTTCTCGCGTCCGAAATGTCCGGTCGACGGTTCACAATGAGCATCCCGCATCACACGTTCTCGATGCTCACCCGGAACTACGAGTCGCCAGCACTGCTCCTTATGAGTCACTGGATCTAGGAGTTCATTCGTGCCGTACTTGTACAGCATTCCGTCCTCAACCTTCCACCCGCGGTACTTAAGTGGACGCGCCTCCACATCCTTCATCCGCTGAAGGTACCACGGGTCGTTGGTGACTTCGAATGCTGCAGCCTCCACGTCGCTCCCAAACCCACGAGACAACGCATCAGGGACATGGTGGAGTGTCCCCTTGCGATACACCAGCTCGAAGTCCCATTGCTGCAACTCGAGGATCCAGCGGGCCAGACGTCCCGTCGGATCCTTCTTGTTCTTCAGCCAGGTCAGAGCCGTATGGTCGGTGACTGCAATAAAATGCGCGCCCTCGATATATGGCCTGAACTTCTGGATTCCGAACAGCAGCCCTAGGCATTCGAGCTCAGACACGGTGTAATTGTTCTCGTGCTCATTAAGCATGCGACTCGCGTAACATATCGGGTGATCGTACCCTTCGTCATCTTTTTGCATCAGGCAAGCACCCAGTGCATAAGACGACGCGTCGCAGTGCACATAGAACGGCCGGCAAAAATCCGGTCGCACAAGCACGGGAGCTTCCGTAAGAGCTCGCTTGAGCGCATCGAACGCTCGTTGCTGCTCGGAGTCCCAGTGCCATGCTTCGCCCTTGTGCAACAGCTTCGTTAAGGGCACCTTCAGATGTGACTCATGCTCGATGAACCTGGAGTACCATCAACACATCCCCAGGAAACGACGCAGCTGTTTGATGTTCTGCGGGGCTGGAAAGTCCAGCACGGGCTGGACTTGATCAGAGTCAGGCCGCAGCCCACCCTCGTCGAGAAGATATCCCAGGAACGTGACCCTGGAGCAACCAAATTCACTCTTCTCGACGTTGATCTCCAGCCCCGCCCGGACCATGCGCTCCAGCGCCTTCTCGAGCCACACCAAGTGATCCTCGAACGTTTCCGTGACTACGATCACATCGTCGAGGTACTTGAATACATACGGCTCGAAATCTGGTCCGAACAGCGCGTCCATCAAGCGCATGAAGGTTGCGGGAGCGTTGACCAGACCAAAAATCATCCGGTTACACTCCAGAGCCCGCAACCCGGCGCACCAAACGCCGTGTACTTTCTACTATCTTCCTGCAAGGGCACCTGTAAATAGGCACTCTTGAGGTCGATCTTAGAAATGTACCGGGCTCCTCGCAACCTATCGAGAATCACATCTACCCCCGGCATGGGGTAAGCATCGATCCGAGTGGTCTTGTTCACCGGCCTCAGGTCGATGCACAAACGGTAGCTACCATCGTGCTTTTTCACGACCACCGGTGCACTGCACCACTCGCTCTGAGACGGACGTATCACTCCTTTCTGATACCAGTCCTGAATCTCCTGGCGAATAAACTCCGTGACCTGCGGAGAGTACCTGCGCATCGGCGTCTTAATTGGCCTGGCACCTTGCACATCAATGACGTGCTCGATAAGGTCCGTTTGCGCAGGGGACCTCTCCGGCACCACTCGCCGCACCAACGTCTCAACCTGGAGTCGTTGGGGCTCCTGCAGTGCCGAAAGTCCTCCTACCTCCGCGGTCAATTGGAGCTTCCCTGGTTGGTCGGGAAAGTACACCCGGCCATCTTGCCATTGGGCAAAATCATGCCAACTCTCCCGACCTGCGACACTCCATGCATTATGTTCGGCATCCATACGGAAACCAAACGCACTGATGAAGTCCTGTCCAAGGAGCATATCGTACTGCAATCCCTGCTCGCACGCATACGCCTCAATGGACCGGACCACAGTGTCGATCTCGATCACCAGCCTCAGTTTTCCTACCATACTGACTGATGTACCCGAGAAACCATTTACTGCTCCCGGAGTTTTCCTCACCTGAGCCTGGAAGTCTTGCGTGACTCGGCAGCCTACCACTGACACTTGCGCTCCGGTGTCAAACAGCGCACTGTAAGGCTCGCCATTGATGAGCAGTATGAGCAGAGGACGGTTCTCCGTTACCATGTCAACTGCGGGATCTCCGTTGTCAGAGGCGCCCGGGCAACCAGTTGTGTCACTCACAACGCCCACCCCCGCCGGAACCGACGAAGCTTTCAGCTCTCTCGTCGCGTTTCTCACGCACGGGGAAGCCTCTGTACCCGGCACCTCGCGTCCACGCAGTTGACCTGTCCGCTCTAAGAACCCCTGCAAGGCCTGACAACCGGAGGCAACTTGCTGCGATTGCTCGCTCGCAAGTCGCCTCACACACAGTTGCGACCTTGGGCTCCCCTGCTCACCTCGCACTTCCTGGGACTCGCTTCCGTCAGCCACCTGCCAACGGCTCTCGAGTCGCCGGCTCAGTTGTCGCCAGTATTCATCCGTCTCAGGCCCCGAATCTTCTTGGGGTCTTACTCGTATGTCCCATCCGCTGTGCTCCACGCCGGCTGCCCTCTGCGAGTTATGGCGGAGAGCGTAGGGCCACCGTTCCCCGCTGACCTGTTTTCCGCCATCCGACGAATCGGTTCGCAGTTGATGCACGTGCGAAACGTGCAGTTGGGCGCCTGGCAGTTTTGGCACGACTCGGCCGGGGCTCCAAAGGGGCAGCTGGGGGCATAATGGCCCACCCGGTTGCATCGGTAGCACACAGGTGCTCCGCGAGCCTGGTCGTTCTGGCGGCCAGTATTATGCGGGCACTGTGACCGTCGATGTCCCTCCCCGTTGCAACCAAAACAACGACCTCGAAACGGGGATGGACCCTGGCCGCCTCCAGAACTTGCGCCACCTGGTCCCTGCTGCAGGACTACAGCTCAGGCTGGAGCCTGCAGGGACGGCGCTGCTCGCGGGTTCGTGCCCCCACCGGCAACCTTCCCTTGGGCCTGGGCGTTGGGATAACGCCCGGGTGCTGGGTGCATCACTGCACTCGCCATGCACCCCTCAGCCCCCGAACCGCCACACGATGAACGCCCCGAAACCTGTGCTCCCGAAGACTTGGCACCCTTGCTCTTCTTCTTCTTCGGCTTCGGCTTGCTGGCCGGCTGCTCCTTGGAGGCTTGGGAGACCTCGACGGCAATCTCTGCAACGTGGGTCTTCCTCGCCTTCCCTCGGTACGCAGCATCCTCCACCAGCAAGTTATCCTTGGCAGAAGGTGGGTGCCATCTCCTCTCGCGATCCTGGTGCCTCTCCAATCAATCTCCATAATACCGGAGATCGCGGAGGTCATGTACGGGTCTATCCCGGAGGTAGCGCCCATACTCCGGGTTCAACCCGGCCATCGCCAACCGCACATGCCGTCTGTCGGACGGGGGAGGCCGCATCCGCCGCACGATACTCTGGAATGCGGTGAGGTAGTCCGCGATCGACTCGTCCTCACCCTGCATCCGGCGGCTCAGTTCACAGTAGACCTCCTCACGGTCCAACGTCCGGCAGTACTGGTGGCGGAAATCCACAGCAAAATCATGGAAGGTGCGCCACCCTCAGAGATTGTTCGCCTACCAAACCTCCGCGCGATCGGAGAAGATCGCATCCAGGGCCGGGAGCACCTCACAATCGGGGAGGTTATATAACCTCACGCAGCGCTTCAACTTCTCCAGGAAACGTTCTGCACCCGATCCCGCGGCGCCGTTGAACCGCACGTTCCAGGCCCTAAACGCCGAAATCGCATCGGCGGGCCTGCCATTCAAACGGCCGCGCGACCTCTCCCTGCGCGCGCCTCGATGGCCCGAACGTACGCGCCCCCGACGACACCGGTGATGGCGTCGCCGGTGGCACGCACTCACGTCATCGCTGGAAGAACTTCTAGCGATGGAGGGCTCGGATTCGGAGGAGCTCGTGGCTTCCCGGCTGTGCCGCCCTCTGCGCGGCCGTCTCCTGGGCCTCAAATGCGCCTTGCTCGCCTCACTAGGCGAGTCTGACGTTGAGGACAGCAGCAGCGGGGGCCTCGTCAGGACAGGTCGTCGCTCCTCCTCGAATCCACTCGAGGCGGCGAAGTGCTGTCGCCACTCGCGTGCGAGCTTGCGAGGGCACCTGCGTTTGGGAGAGTCCAAACCCGTTAACCGCTCCCCCCGCTGGGGGTCAGCTGCGGGGCCGCCCGGGCCCATCGGGGGCCGAGGCCGCAGCGGGGAGGGCTGTACCGTCGGTATCCCGGACACCAGCGGGGCCGTACCAGCAGGCCCATAACCCAAGACCTGTAATGCCGCCAGCACCTGCTGCAAAAATAGCGGGTCAAGAGGCGGCACTGGCACCGCTGGAACCGGGATGGGTCCGGCAGCCACGTCCCCCGGGCCCTCAGCCTGCTCCAGGTGGGCCCCCCGTGGCAACGCCGCAGCTACCGCAGCCTCTCTCGCGGTATCGCCGGAGTCGGAGCCTGTCGAAGCGCTCCGGACTTCCTCCTCGAGCAGGGTACGGTTGGCCCGGTCCTCGCTCAAGGCCAGCCCAACTCCAGGAGGAGAGTGCTTCACCTTCCCCTGGACCGTTGAGCTGAGCAAGGACACGTCACCCGTTTCCGTGCGAGCGAAAAAGGGATTCCGGGCCAGAGTATCCTCAAACCGTGCGCGCAAACTCTGGTCCGGCACTACGTCGCGCGCTTCGCTAAAGGAGGAATCGGGGATGCGCCCCGACATAAAGTAGGAGGGGAAAAGGGGCACCTCAGCTCCGGATAGCGT